CCCAGTCTCGTCCCAGTTGAGCCCAAGCTCTTCCCAGTTGGCTCCAGTTGACCCCAGTCCATTCCCAGTTGACCCTAGTTGATTCCAGTCCCTTCCCAGTTGACTCCAGTTGACCCCAGTTGACCCCAGTTGGCCCCAGTCCCTTCCCAGTTGACCCCCGTTTGCCCCAGCCCCTTCCCAGTTGGCCCCAGTCCCTTCCCAGTTGGCCCCAGTTCCTTCCCAGTTGACCCCAGTCCCTTCCCAGTTGGCCCCAGTTCCTTCCCAGTTGACCCCAGTCCCTTCCCAGTTGGCCCCAGTTCCTTCCCAGTTGACCCCAGTCCCTTCCCAGTTGGCCCCAGTTCCTTCCCAGTTGACCCCAGTCCCTTCCCAGTTGGCCCCAGTTCCTTCCCAGTTGACCCCAGTCCCTTCCCAGTTGGCCCCAGTTCCTTCCCAGTTGACCCCAGTCCCTTCCCAGTTGGCCCCAGTTCCTTCCCAGTTGACCCCAGTCCCTTCCCAGTTGGCCCCAGTTCCTTCCCAGTTGACCCCAGTCCCTTCCCAGTTGGCCCCAGTTCCTTCCCAGTTGACCCCAGTCCCTTCCCAGTTGGCCCCAGTTCCTTCCCAGTTGACCCCAGTCCCTTCCCAGTTGGCCCCAGTTCCTTCCCAGTTGACCCCAGTCCCTTCCCAGTTGGCCCCAGTTCCTTCCCAGTTGACCCCAGTCCCTTCCCAGTTGGCCCCAGTTCCTTCCCAGTTGACCCCAGTCCCTTCCCAGTTGGCCCCAGTTCCTTCCCAGTTGACCCCAGTCCCTTCCCAGTTGGCCCCAGTTCCTTCCCAGTTGACCCCAGTCCCTTCCCAGTTGGCCCCAGTTCCTTCCCAGTTGACCCCAGTCCCTTCCCAGTTGGCCCCAGTTCCTTCCCAGTTGACCCCAGTCCCTTCCCAGTTGGCCCCAGTTCCTTCCCAGTTGACCCCAGTCCCTTCCCAGTTGGCCCCAGTTCCTTCCCAGTTGACCCCAGTCCCTTCCCAGTTGGCCCCAGTTCCTTCCCAGTTGACCCCAGTCCCTTCCCAGTTGGCCCCAGTTCCTTCCCAGTTGACCCCAGTCCCTTCCCAGTTGGCCCCAGTTCCTTCCCAGTTGACCCCAGTCCCTTCCCAGTTGGCCCCAGTTCCTTCCCAGTTGACCCCAGTCCCTTCCCAGTTGGCCCCAGTTCCTTCCCAGTTGACCCCAGTCCCTTCCCAGTTGGCCCCAGTTCCTTCCCAGTTGACCCCAGTCCCTTCCCAGTTGGCCCCAGTTCCTTCCCAGTTGACCCCAGTCCCTTCCCAGTTGGCCCCAGTTCCTTCCCAGTTGACCCCAGTCCCTTCCCAGTTGGCCCCAGTTCCTTCCCAGTTGACCCCAGTCCCTTCCCAGTTGGCCCCAGTTCCTTCCCAGTTGACCCCAGTCCCTTCCCAGTTGGCCCCAGTTCCTTCCCAGTTGACCCCAGTCCCTTCCCAGTTGGCCCCAGTTCCTTCCCAGTTGACCCCAGTCCCTTCCCAGTTGGCCCCAGTTCCTTCCCAGTTGACCCCAGTCCCTTCCCAGTTGGCCCCAGTTCCTTCCCAGTTGACCCCAGTCCCTTCCCAGTTGGCCCCAGTTCCTTCCCAGTTGACCCCAGTCCCTTCCCAGTTGGCCCCAGTTCCTTCCCAGTTGACCCCAGTCCCTTCCCAGTTGGCCCCAGTTCCTTCCCAGTTGACCCCAGTCCCTTCCCAGTTGGCCCCAGTTCCTTCCCAGTTGACCCCAGTCCCTTCCCAGTTGGCCCCAGTTCCTTCCCAGTTGACCCCAGTCCCTTCCCAGTTGGCCCCAGTTCCTTCCCAGTTGACCCCAGTCCCTTCCCAGTTGGCCCCAGTTCCTTCCCAGTTGACCCCAGTCCCTTCCCAGTTGGCCCCAGTTCCTTCCCAGTTGACCCCAGTCCCTTCCCAGTTGGCCCCAGTTCCTTCCCAGTTGACCCCAGTCCCTTCCCAGTTGGCCCCAGTTCCTTCCCAGTTGACCCCAGTCCCTTCCCAGTTGGCCCCAGTTCCTTCCCAGTTGACCCCAGTCCCTTCCCAGTTGGCCCCAGTTCCTTCCCAGTTGACCCCAGTCCCTTCCCAGTTGGCCCCAGTTCCTTCCCAGTTGACCCCAGTCCCTTCCCAGTTGGCCCCAGTTCCTTCCCAGTTGACCCCAGTCCCTTCCCAGTTGGCCCCAGTTCCTTCCCAGTTGACCCCAGTCCCTTCCCAGTTGGCCCCAGTTCCTTCCCAGTTGACCCCAGTCCCTTCCCAGTTGGCCCCAGTTCCTTCCCAGTTGACCCCAGTCCCTTCCCAGTTGGCCCCAGTTCCTTCCCAGTTGACCCCAGTCCCTTCCCAGTTGGCCCCAGTTCCTTCCCAGTTGACCCCAGTCCCTTCCCAGTTGGCCCCAGTTCCTTCCCAGTTGACCCCAGTCCCTTCCCAGTTGGCCCCAGTTCCTTCCCAGTTGACCCCAGTCCCTTCCCAGTTGGCCCCAGTTCCTTCCCAGTTGACCCCAGTCCCTTCCCAGTTGGCCCCAGTTCCTTCCCAGTTGACCCCAGTCCCTTCCCAGTTGGCCCCAGTTCCTTCCCAGTTGACCCCAGTCCCTTCCCAGTTGGCCCCAGTTCCTTCCCAGTTGACCCCAGTCCCTTCCCAGTTGGCCCCAGTTCCTTCCCAGTTGACCCCAGTCCCTTCCCAGTTGGCCCCAGTTCCTTCCCAGTTGACCCCAGTCCCTTCCCAGTTGGCCCCAGTTCCTTCCCAGTTGACCCCAGTCCCTTCCCAGTTGGCCCCAGTTCCTTCCCAGTTGACCCCAGTCCCTTCCCAGTTGGCCCCAGTTCCTTCCCAGTTGACCCCAGTCCCTTCCCAGTTGGCCCCAGTTCCTTCCCAGTTGACCCCAGTCCCTTCCCAGTTGGCCCCAGTTCCTTCCCAGTTGACCCCAGTCCCTTCCCAGTTGGCCCCAGTTCCTTCCCAGTTGACCCCAGTCCCTTCCCAGTTGGCCCCAGTTCCTTCCCAGTTGACCCCAGTCCCTTCCCAGTTGGCCCCAGTTCCTTCCCAGTTGACCCCAGTCCCTTCCCAGTTGGCCCCAGTTCCTTCCCAGTTGACCCCAGTCCCTTCCCAGTTGGCCCCAGTTCCTTCCCAGTTGACCCCAGTCCCTTCCCAGTTGGCCCCAGTTCCTTCCCAGTTGACCCCAGTCCATTCCCAGTTGACCCCTTCTCCTTCCCAGTTGACCCCAGTCCATTCCCA